CCATCATGATCCATTTGCCCCAAAGGGCTAACACCCATGATTTTAAGATCTCTGCCTAGAGCAGAGGCAGAACTATTAACATTCCTACATCCTCTTTCCCTGCTCATTCAACTTCAAACACCTTTAACACTTTCAACAACCCTTTTAACACTTCCTTTATCTTTCTCCAGCCTGTACTTCTCTAATGCCAACATCAAAGGCTCAGTCAGGGGCCAACTTAATTCCGTACATTTTCCCACCAAGATGCTGAAACAACATCAGTATACAACATTTCATCCTATTCTCCTTCTCAAAACCAACATTAACTGTAGCAAAACATTAGAGTTTAAAGTTCCATTTAGGGGCCACTTTTCTCCACATTCCAGCTTATAAAGCGGCCACCATTGATTACAATATTTTATCAATGTTTTCCTGTTCACACTTCCACCGGCAGATCCTCCAATATCCTTCCAGTGACTCAAAACACATCCTAACGCACTTTTCTTAGGAATTTCACTGCTTGTGTGCCCCCCCATTTTCCAGTTTACACTTTCAGAATACACGTGTTACTTACAAAAGCGTATCACAAAAACGTATCACTCACAAAATTACAGGCACGCAATATCTTTCAGTAGCGATGTCACAAAGCTACTATTACCAGCAATATTGCTAAAATCACAATAACAATAGTCAGAGTCAAATTCCACATGCGATAAGTCAGAAAACCGAACTGTGTAACACCATAGCGATATCTTTCTTATAACAATGCCACGAACCTACTATTACCACCAGAAAAATAGCCAAAATCACAGTAACAATACTCGGCTCTGGTGAGGCCGCACCTCGAGTACTGTGTTCAGTTCTGGGCCCCTCGCTACAAGAAGGACATCGAGGTGCTTGAGCGGGTCCAGAGAAGGGCGACGAAGCTGGTGAGGGGCCTGGAGAGCAAGTCCTATGAGGAGCGGCTGAAGGAGCTGGGCTTGTTCAGCCTAGAGAAAAGGAGGCTCAGGGGTGACCTTATCACTCTGTATAAGTATATTAAAGGAGGCTCTAGCGAGATGGGGGTTGGCCTGTTCTCCCATGTGCCTGGTGACAGGACGAGGGGGAATGGGCTAAAGTTGCGCCAGGGGAGTTTTAGGTTAGATGTTAGGAAGAATTTCTTTACTGAAAGGGTTGTTAGACATTGGAACAGGCTGCCCAGGGAGGTGGTTGAGTCACCATCCCTGGAAGTCTTCAAAAGACGTTTAGATGTAGAACTTAGGGATATGGTTTAGTGGGGACTGTTAGTGTTAGGTCAGAGGTTGGACTCGATGATCTTGAGGTCTCTTCCAACCTAGAGATTCTGTGATTCTGTGATTCTGTGATACCACACTCCATGAGTCAGAAAACCGAAATAGACAACACAATTCCAGATGGACGTTAAAGCGAGCTCTTTCCTTAAGGTCCCCAAATATACTTATGGTGCTTACTACAAAGTATATACCAAACACTGCCTCGCAGAAGATCACCTTCCGACTTACAGACAGTTCCAGGTACAGATGGACCTCAAGGTCCCCAGATATACTTGTGGTACTAACCACGAAGTATATACCAAATACTGTCCTGCAGAAGATCACCTTCCGACTTACTGGACAGTCCCAGATGACCGGTCTACCAGAAAACCAAACCAGAATAACGAATATACTCACTTACAATGATGGGGTCCTTGTCTGCCTCCGCAGTGATCCGGTGAGTCGAGGAGTCCCTCCGGGAAATCCCGGGGGTACCCTAGGGAGTCCTGTCCCCAGCGGGTCCTGCGGACCGGCAGAGAGGTAGTCCCATCTGGGGTGCCAGATTGATTCAAAGATTGAAGCCGAAATTCCTTTAAGTGGTATATTCTTTATTGCAGCGCTGGATGCACGGGGGATCTCTCCACCTATCGTGCATACCCAGAGCGGAAAGCAGTCTTGAATTTATATAATCAATCTATCAATATTCTACAAGCACCTCTACATATGCATTACCTATCCCCGCCTTCCCCTGCTTCTCATGCTAATTAGCCTTTTGGCACCTTGCGCCTGCATAGAGCCTTCCAAGAATTGTGGGCAGGGGTCTTTGGGACGTGGGCAGGGGTCTCTGGGAGGAAGACCCCGAGTCTTCCTCACAGTGTACTTTTCACTTTTGGTCAGGAATCTGCTGAATTGGCACGTTTCTTAATTGCCAGAGCTGGTTGTTGCCAATTCTTCCGTTTGTTGTATCTTTATAATGAATTCCAATGTCCAGTTTTGATATTTATAGTCCTTACATTTGTTTCTCTGTCCGTTTGCCGCTTCCTTATCATGAGTTCCAGTGTCTTGTTTCGAGATATACAGTCCATGTCTGGGGATTGTCCTTGCCTCCCCAATACCTCCTTAATCACACTGCAGGTAAAAAGAAGTTTTTAAAAAACAAAACCAAACAAATAAAGAGTCTGCTTAAATATTTCCAGGCCTTACAAAAGGCTTAAGTATATCATTTACATTTGAGAGCAAGTGGGAGGTAAATCGTACAAGATCAAAACATTTAATTTCTCAAGCTAGCCTTCACTTAGATGAAGCACTCAGAGTACAGTAGCTCTGCAAAGACTACATAAGAGCAGGTCTTACAACGCTTTCTCATTTCACCTATCCAATACCTTGTTTGTCTTTCAAAACTCTGCAGTTGGCACTTCTACTTTCATACACTACCTTCTCAATAAAACTGGTTTTATAGCCACCAGTATTTACTTCCCGATTTTAATTCGGCAAAAATAACAGAAGTTACTCTGCTTAGTACTTTCTCCTTAGTATTCTATTCTATTGCAAAGAAACCATTTACCTATCCACTCTTAAACTTGTCTTCTTTCTTAGACTGCATTTCAAATAACAGGTTATTTTTTAGCACTCTTCTGCCTCATCATGCACACTTCATGAATTAGTCAAAAAAAACGTTCAAATTCCTGTTTATCACCTCCACATGATGTGAAATCAAAGAACAATCCATATGGCTTCACTGCCAGATCAACAAAGAACAAGTATCAAACTCTGTCTTACGCCACAGATAGATTTTCAGCTGTGAATTCACATACATTTCAGTTGCTGGTGGATGCAAGGGAAGATTCCTAAAATCGCTGTTTTTTAAGTACTGAGATAACCCAATAATGCAAAGTTTAGTTCTTAACGTGCAGTGAACTGATCACATAGTGAAGACTCATGATAATCTCAACTCACTGACAGTTCAGACGTCTTCTTACGGAACACTCTGATCTAAAAGAACAGGCGAAGCAGGACCTGAGTGCCATGCAGAGGATGTGTTTAGTTTCATGATCTTCCCAGAATCCTGATGGGTTTCATCCCAGTGCTTCTGAACACACTGGAAGAAGCCCCCACAAAGCAGCAGCTAAACTGCCTAAGCAATTCTAATAATGGAGCAGTATGCATGAAGTCAAATACTGGGAAGGGAAAAAAAGGCAGCAGGGAGATTTTTGAAAAAAAATAAAAAAATAAAAAAAATCCAGCTCTTGTCATCTAACTTCTACTTTTGTTTGGTTGAAATGCTACATTTTGGATTGTCAGTTACCTTTTCATTTGAGAAAGCAAGAACTACCACAACTGGACACTGGATCTGGTACTACTCCAGAATTACCTCGCATGTTAGCACAAGGTCTTAGGGAACAAAGAGAGACAGAAAATAAATAAGATCAACTATGCAAAACACACACTGAGTTTATAAATAGGGTTTTGCCCTTAAAATTCCCAACTCTTGTGTCAGAAGCCAACCTTTTTTTCTTCAAAGTTCAGCCAAAGGCCTTTTTAAGTGGAAACTTTCAGCTTTAGCTTGTTTTCAAACACCCAGGGCAAAGCTGTATAATGGAAAGATTTCCCCCATTTTTTCAGGCAAGACATTTATTTTAATACCCAGCTATCCGAGGGCAACAAGTTGTAATTATTTCAGAATTTACAGTTTTCTTTCACGAGCAATTTTTAGCCTATAAAGAATGAACGGGGCATTTAATTTTGGTGCTGTAGATCAGTGCCACTTCAGCATAACTTTGTAAATAATTATTATTATTATTATTGTTCCCCATCTATCAGTACTACGATTATAGTGAGGGTCAGGGCCCAGCAAATTAATTGAATTATTTTAATAAGAACCCACAGGCCTCCAATTCTGTTCTTTTGTATCACTACACAGTCCACCTATTTTAGGTAAGGTGGTAAAGAGGTGAAAAAGCTGTGGTGTAAAAAAGTAAGTTCAGTCAAGTGAAAAACAAACAGTTTCAGTTTGAACTAAACAAAAAGCTTTTTTCTTCCAGCAGAGGGAGGATACTTCATCATGGATCAGCCCAGAAGTGCCTTCTTCATGATTTAAAACAAATCACTGCAGCAGCCTATGCAAGTACAGACAGCTTGCAACGCATTGCTTCAGACTGCTGAGACAGGACATGGTAATTTGAGAAACAAACTGTCATCTGTTTGTTTTTTTTTTTTAAAGGAGATTAAAGCATGCTTGCATTAGAATAACTGTTTTATTTATAGAGAAGCTTACTTTTTCCACGGGAATCTGTGTAAGGAATATAGCTAGATAATTGCAAAAAGCTCAAAAGCAAAGCCTGAATGTATTTAAAGAATTAACCGATTAACTGATGGGTTAAGCCACATCCTTATACAGAATAAGAAATTTGCCTTTCCCAAATCATAGGATATATTTCCTGTGCTTACACTATTGTCAACCAAAGGGATTAAAATAATTATATTTAAAAAAAAAAAAAGCAGAACAAACAAAAACACCAAAAAACACAACACACACACATTTAAATTTGATAAATTTGATCACACGCTTACTCAGGTGAATGACTATACTAGAAGAAAAAAACACCTGCACACTAATCTTTCTGTATATACAGAGAGCAGCAAAGTTACAAAAAGCTAATGAAGTAGACATCATCTCAAGTGGTAACAACTAAACCTAAAAATGTCTCTACAGTAATATTACATAATACAGCGTTCAGACTTTTTTTGTACCTGCAAGTAAGGTTAGGGTCGACATTCCTTGACAGCAGTAGTTCCACAGTCTTCAAGATGTTTTCCTCTGAAGCATGAGCAGCACACGCTGCCATCAGCACTGTGTACTTGTCTGTTTGGAAACTTACAGTTAGAAAATTGCATACACCAACACTATGCTAGTCCAAAAGTTCCTTTAAAAGCCTTTACATTTGCTAGAGTTGTTTATCAGGTGCTGATAACTAAGATTTAAGAAACTTGTAAAGGTAAGAAACTTGTTTTTCCTCCACTAAAAGTCACTAGAATTATCAGGTAAGATGAAGGCATCTAAAAAGAGAAGACAAAGACAGGAGTGAATGAGACTAGTAGAGCATCTACCACTACTGAAGGTGAGGATGCTTGCTTAGGTAGTGAACAAAAAACCTGCAGGAGCTTAAATTTAGGTATCTGTTTCTAAAATCTTGGTCCACACCATGAGATTCAATCCCTGTTCCTCCCTACCTCGCCCCAAAACACAGCCAAATGAAGAAACATCTTACTGAAGTTAACTGCAACAGTTAAAAAAAAAAAAAAAGTGCATGCAACTATTTTTTAAAAAACACATAGCAGCATCACTTGTAGGGAGAACAGGGGTCCATACAAAGGACAGTTCAAGTAACAAGGCTTTATTAAAGGGATGAAGGAAAAGGAAAGCAGTTTACAAACCTAGACTACTATTGTGCAGTACTGGCAAGAAGAAGATGGCAAAAGGAGGTATGTTCCTTAGATCCACATCCACAATACGTAAAAAAATCATCATGAGGAACCGGTGTGTTTCTCTGCTCCAGCTCCAAAGGCAGCTGAGTGTTACGTGCCACCTTTACTCATGGATCAGAACTGCACACCACTGCTGTTCGCCCACAGAACAGGGGAGATCTTTCCTATTTTTCTCCTACGGGTATGTGGAAAACATCACACCTCAAGGACCTTAGCAAGCTCTTTGGCTTAGAAGACTATATCATTTGAACAACTGCCCACTTCGCTTATTGCACAAACTTACATACAAGCTCAAACATGCCTTCAGCAATTTAACAAGTATAATTTTAACTGTACATACTTCAGACCGATCCTTGAAGTGTTACAACATATTTTCTACCTTTCTTATCGAAATCTTAGGACTGCGTATGCACTAGTACCTTTATTCTTCAGAAGAGATCAGATATTTTTTGCATTTAAACTTGAGAAGTTTATATACTTCACCCCAATCTGCTCCACTTTCTTTGCTTCTCCCAACTTCTCGTCTTTGACTTCTCCAACTTACGACCTTAGATTTGTGTTTAAATTCACCTAGGTTTTTATAGACCAACCTGCAACTTTCAACCTTCTCATACAGAAGTTGCAGAACGCATAAATCAGTGTATTCAATGAAAAAGTAAGTTTCATAGAGTCACTTAAACTCCTTAACCGTAAGTAATTAGCTTTCCAGTAAATAATTTAATTCACTAACAGATTCTTGCTCTAAACATTTAAACTGGTCATCGATAATAACATGCACTGAAAGCTGGCTGGACTTTGAACAAAAGATAGCAATAAACATCATTGATCTGGGAATTACATTTAAGAAGAAACTGTAGTTATATTTATATTCCATAGTTAAAATAGTGATAAAGGGTGGGAAGTTGATTTCTGCTGGCCTACCTACAGGTCATACATAAGCAGAAGAAGAAACACCTCAGAACACTCAGCTTTCTCTTCTGCACAGAAAAAATGGTAAGAGACTGGTAAAAGATTAGTCTGTGGTCAGGCTAGCTGAAAAGAACACACACACAGAAGAGACAGTGAATTTACTCCTTCAAGATGCTACATTCTGATGCCACCACACAGCAAATGCTACCATTAGTTCCTCATTCTTCATGGCTATCAAAGTTCATTCCACTATTAGGGTAAAATTAAGCGAGCAGCTTACAAAGAAGAACTGAAACGTGACAAACAGTGATTAACAGCAGAGCTGTTGTTAGGATTATAAGGTTCTAACATTACTAGTACGGGATCACTCGCGTGATTGCCAGCTCATACAGAACAACCAGGACTGATGACATTTAGTGCCACTTAGGGATGGCATAGCTGTACTGAACACATTTGGCTTGACCTGAATCAATCGCTTGCAAGACTGCTCCTGGCTGGACAATGCTCAGCTGTGCCCTAGCTACTATTTCGCTATACGAACCAGCAAGGAAACAAGCTGAGAAACCTGGTCCCAGCAAGGTGCCACTGAACCCCCCTCCATGGGGATCCCAACACCTCCATGGAGACTCCAACACCCCCACGTGATCCCTGACCCCCCCCAAAAAAGATCCTGACCCCCCCCCAAAAAAGACCCTGACCCCCCCATGGGATCGCTGACCCCCCCAAAAAGATCCTGACCCCCCCCTACAGGGATCCCAGCACCCCCAAAAGGATCCTGACCCCCCCCCCCACGGGGACCCCAATGCCCTCAAAGGGATCCTGACCCCCCCCAAAAGGATTCTGACCCCCCCCGACGAGGACCCCAACCCCCCGCATGGGGTCCCTGACCTCCCCCAAAGACCCTGACCCCCCCCCAAACACCCCAACCCCCCCCCATGGGGTCATCACTGCCCCCCCCAGGAGGACCCCAATACCCCCATAGGGACCCTGACCCCCCCCCCATAGAGTCCTGCCCCCCCCCCGGATTCTGACACCCCCCAAAAACCTCCATGGCCCCCCCAAAAACCTTCTGTGCCCCCCCAAAAAAAACATTTCCCCCCCAAAACCCCATTTATCCCCCCAAAAAAAACCCTGCCCCCCCCAAAACAAGTAACCCTCCCCAAAATAACCCTGTGCCCCCCCTGAATAAACCCCGTGACCACCCCAAAAACCCCATACCCCTCCCCAAAAACCCCACATACCTTCCCAAAACCCTGCACCCCCCCCAAAAAAAAATAATGTGTGTCCCCCCCCCCAGGCTGCTGTGCGCCCTGGGGTTGGCTGTGGGGCTACTGGCCATCGAATTTGGGGGTTTCTTCGCGGGGGTGTCCAGGTTCCACCGCTTGCAGGGGATGTTCTGTATCCTGCACCCCGGGGGGGGGGGCAAAAAAAACTGGGGGAGGGAGAGGAAAAAACGAGGGGGGTGGAGGAGTATGGGGGGGAATTGGGGTGAATGGGGGGGTTTTGAAGGGGGTGAAGTGGGGGGGGCTAAAATATTGGGGGGGTAGTATTGGGGTTGCTGGAAATATGGGGGGGGGTCCTGGAATGTTTGGGGGGGGCTTGAAATATGGGTGGGGGTCCTGAAATGGGGGAAGACACAGGGGGGACCCTAAAATATGGAGGGGTAAAATAAGGGGGGTCCTAAAATAGGGGGGGGGAAAGAAAATACGGTGGGGGGGGCTAAAATAAAGGGGGGGGCATAAAAAATATGGGGGGGGTGAAATGTTGGGGGGTGGGGGTTGAAAAATGGGGGGGGCACTGAAATATGGGGGGGACCCTAAAACTCGCGGGGGGGGCAGATTTTGGGGGGGGCAGGTGGGGGGAATCCTAAATATGGGTGTGAGAAACACTCCGTAGCCAATAACTTAGGCTCAGGCGAGGATCTCAGTGAAGTAGTAATTTATTCGCGATTGCAATGGCGGGCGCCCCACAAGCAGGAGAGAGCATCTACTAGTTCCAAAACAAAGTTGATACACCTTTTGATGGCAGGACCCTCCCCTGTTTCCCCACTGAGTGGGTAATCCAGGTTCACAATCTATCTGATGCTTCACAAACAATGCATGGCCTTCAGTTGCCGGCCTGTTAAATTTCAAATTTCTTTTGACATTTTTACTGCTTGAAGTGGTAATGTTTCTTCCCTTATCTGACTTGACTTGACACCGTGATTTTCACCTAATTGTCCTAAGGAGTCTGGTTGTCTGCATTTTACTAGGTCGCCTGCTAAACTTTCTTATCACTGTAAGCATATCTCAGTACCACATTCCCTCCTTCTAAACAATGTAACTCTGCAAAAACAACATTTCTATTCCCACAATTCCCCCCTTTTCTTTTTTTATAAACTGTTGATTTTTGTAAAACCTTTCTCTAAGGTGTAATTTGATAGATTTCTTCTTCTTCTTTGCTTTCTTTGCTTTCCATCTCCTCATTATCTCCTTATCTGAGTAAGGTGGTAGCTCCATGGTCATTTGTTTCAATAGTGCGGTTTCAGTTAACCACTGTACTAGTCCTCTTACACAGAGGATAATGCAGCAACCAATGGCTGTCAAAACTCCTACAACTACGATCAATGTTGTAAATATGCCTACTTTTTCTCCCAATTCACTGGCAAGGGTGGTAAGCCCTTGCAATGCTCTTGTTACCGAGCCATCTGGGACACTATTGTTGGGTGTAAGTGCAACAATGGTTGCTCAGTATTACACACACAAACACACCTCCTTCCTCTGCGAGCATCATATCTAATGCTATCCTGTTTTCCCAAGCCATTTTGCTGATGGCATCTAGTTGTTCAGCGATTCCTCTCATCGCATCCTTGGTATAATTGATGAATCTCTGCTGATTATAATAGAAATAATTAATCCAATCCACATTTTTATTGATTGTTACCCACCAGAACAGTGACTCAAACCCTGCAGCAATTTGATTTCTGGCTTTATGTTCATCTGGAACTCCTCTAGGTACCCCAATAGAATCTATGTATACTCTGTCATCAAATGATATTCCTAAGCCTCTTTTACTTCTTCTGGGTATTTGTGATGTTTCTCTTTCAAATGCCAGGGTGAAGGGTATAGCTAATTGAACAAGTACACACGTGCCTCCCCAATTTGATGGTAGGGTGGACCGTAAGATCTTCCCTCCACCGTACCACCAGAGATCTGCCCTGGGGATCTCTAGTCTTGAGCAGTTTCCCATCAAGTCCTTGGTAGCACAAGGCAAATTCTCCCAGATGCCAGGTAGCACTCACACCCTGCCGTGAGAGGCAAGCTGTATAGTTACCTATAGCTGTAGAGAATGCAGGGGGAACCGCGATATTGCTAACATGCAAGGAACAGCAAAGAGAGACTTACAGGCCTCGTTTCCCCAGGCAGTCTTTTCTTGCTCCAATGCAATCATACATCGCATCCCTTGGGAGTCTTTGGTCCACCCCCATGGGAAGGGCACTATCTGGGCAATTGGTCATCCTGAGGCACAAGCATAGCAGTAGCTACGGTTGAGACTCTGGATGGTATATTTGACCCATTCTATCCAGGCATTCACATCCCCATACCCTGTTTGAATCTCAAATGTTTGAACTGCCACATTTCAGAGGGCCTCCTGTTTTCTCTCCTGTTTTCTCCTTGAGTTTCTCCCTTTCTCTGATGGCAATAGAGGATTGTTTCCATACAGCTATTCTCAATCTGGCTGTTGGGTCTCTCTCAGTTATTTGTTCTCTCTGCTCAATTGTCGTTGGGCATTTCAATCTCCACAAGCTAACACCTCACAAACATCAAACGTGACAGAATGTGGTACATAACCCTCTGTCACAGTCACCCATATTTTGATGGGGTATCCCGTTTTTGCTATTATCTGGTCATGCCTTTTGCAAGTTGCCAATTGACCAAGGCCTTCTCTGAGGCCTAGAATCACTAAAAACAAAATTAGTAATCCATTTTTCCCTGTCATTATTTTTAAACCTTAGGTTTCCAAATAATTATCGATACAAAAAATAAGATGTACACTACTACTATAACAACCCCCCCCTTGGGAGCACTGCAATTCACTATAGGTCTGTTCTTTCTCTCAATCACAAGTTACACTCATTAGTTACCTGTGAAAATAAAAGGTTAGTTTACAATTGTAAGCTCTTACCCTGCTCAGAGTCCACTATGAAGATTTTTCTCTTCAATTTCAACTTCCAACAAGTCTTTTGTAGGAACAGCTTCCCAGGTACTAGCGTCGACGGATGCCTTCACTCGAGTATAGTGAGTCCAACCTTTTTCCACAGTTCTTACGGCTGTTTCAGTGGTCAGTAATTGTCCTTCCCATTCAGGCTGGAGTTGACTCTTTCCAGGTCCAAATCAGGACCCGATTTCCCGGGTGATGGTGGTGAATGGGGAATTCCAAAGGTGGGGTTTGAGCCAACAACCCACAGGTCCTGAAAAATGACAAAGAAGAGGACAACCCCAGAATACAGTTCTTAAGAAAACTCTCTTGTTTTGAATTGTCGTATCTCATCCCTTCTGCCCAGATACGGCAATCTGAACAGCATCTCATATGGTGAAATTCCTATATCCTTTCTTGGTGCTGTTTAAACCTGTAGGAGTAAGTATTTTACCCAAGGAAGTTGGGTTTCTAACACTAATTTAGTTAATTGCTTCTTTAATGTCTGATTCATTGGCTCCACCTTCCAAGAAGAGGAGGGGTGCCAGGGGCTGTGAAAATCCCACTCGATCTCTAAGGCCTGCTTTAACCCTTGCAGTAAAGCTTACACCCATCTAGTCACATGGTCAGTTAGGACAAACAAGTAACTCAGTAAAGTTTACCTGTATACTTTGGAAAGGTCAAACCCCTGGCTCCCGTCCTCTTCTAGATGGATTACAGACCTTTTTATTTACCTTTTCACATATGGTACATCCTCTACATATGTGCTGCCCTAAAGTGTATATTCCTACACAGACATACTTTCTTATCACATATTGCTTGCACCTCCCAATGACTCTTCTGATGTAAAACAGTTAATATTTGCCTCATTATCACTTTATTCAGCATTTCTCTCCCGTCAGGGAGTATCGATTTTCCTTCAGACTTCATGGCTCCTGATTCCTTAAAAAAATCTTTCTTTTAAATCTTTTTAGTTCTTTCTTAATTTTCAACAATTCCCTGAATCCTCTCTGCATTTATTCTGTTTTCCTTCAGACATTAGATGCCTTAAATACCTGACTTCTCTTTCTCCATATTGTAATTTATTTTTCAATACTCCCAAGCCCTGCTTTCCCAGAAAGTCGAATAGCTTGTTAGTAGCTTTCTTCACAACTCTTTTCTCCTGTCCTGACAATAGAAAACGATCCACATTTTTGTTAACGTTAATACCTCCTTGGGAGGTTGTAATTGCTCCAAAATCTTTTTTTTTTTTTTTTTTTTTAGAACTTACCCAAATAGATAGGTGGCCCTGTAAACCCCTGAGGTAAAATTGTCCACCTATATTGTTGCTTCCACCCCCATTTCAGGGTCTTTCCAGTCAGAGGTGAATACACATGTATGTTTGGTCTCAGGGCCAGAGAGCACTCCATTAATAACACTGTTATTCCAGTCTAATAATTTACTAGTTGAATGCCCAATTTAATCATCAAATCCCTTCCCAACAAGTTAGTCCCTGCCTTAGGTACATACAATAATTACCCAGTGATCATTTTATCCCCTGGTCTCAGCTTGGTATCCCCCAACAGTGGCACTGTTATTCCAGCCCCTTCTACCCCCATCACTTTTTAGGGTTTCATTAGTTGATTTAATCCCTGATACTTTACAAGTCAGTAATGACCTAGCTGTTCCCCAGTGGATTGGGTTTGATGGCAAGGTTCGGGGGCTGTGAGGGGGGGGGGTAGGAAACTGCAGTGGCAGCCCCCATGAGAAAAACCCAGAAGCCTCCCCGTGGCAGGTAAGGGACAATTTCATCTGGCCCCAAAGGGGCCCACTGCTGCCCAGAGCCAAGCCATGAGCAATACAGTCCGTGCCTCTGTGAGAGCACATCCACGAAAACAAACAAAGAAACAAACAAAAGCCTGCTGCTCAACAGCAGTTGGGAGAGCGAGAAACCCCCCCCCCCGCAGACACCAAAGTCAGTGCAGAAGGAGGGGGAGGAGGCGCTCCAGGCGCTGGAGCCGAAGCCCCCCTGTGGCCGCTGGAGAGGTCCCTGGTGGAGCAGGCTGTTCCCCCCCACCGTCCCCCTCCCCGATGCCTGGGAAACTGAACAAACACCACAGCAAATATGCAAATATACCAAAACTTCCAGACTGTTACTTAGATAATGCCTACATCCCCTTTCCATGCTCATTCAACTTCAAACAGCTCTGTTAAATATTACACGCCACACCTTTAACACCTTCAGCAACCCTTTTAACACTTCCTTTATCTTTCTCCAGCCCGTACTTTTCTAATACCAGCACCAAAGGCTCAGTCAGGGTCCAACTTAATTCCATACCTTTTCCCTCCAAGATACTGAAACAACATATCAATATAGCATATTTCATCCCATTTTCCTTCTTTCCTCCTTTTTCCACTCCAGATATTCCTATTCAAAGTGGCCAACCTGGCCACACTTAAAACATCTTATCTGCCTGTCTCTGCTAGGACTCGGGCCACAACACAGGCAGCATTCTTTGCCTGCTATTTCTTCATCTCTCTTCCTCTCCTTTCCATCCTGGCCCTGATTCCCCCTGAAGATTTTCTTCCTCTTTCTCCAACCCTCTGCCTCATTACCCGCTGCACTGTCAATACCATTAGTTTTGCTCTTTTTTTTTCCTTCTTATCTCCCCTCCAGACACACACCTCCAGGGCCTCCCACAGGAGGGTCCCCCAGTTCACTACATCCCCCCACCTTCTGAAGCATTTTCTGCGTATTTTGCCAGGCTTTAATCACACAATGACCTTTCAAGAGCCCTTGGGATACTGGGTCCTCAGGTCTCATCCCCAAGTACTTTCTCACTCTGACCCCAAGTCTCTCATATGATTTCTGTGTTGCACACTATTATTATTCCAGCCAGGATTGGCAAGTGGGTATTTCTGCCCTGCCGGTATTACCCCTGGTCCTGGAGGATGAGCTCTTTCCCATTCTTGTATAGCAGCTCTCCTCCTGATCATTCCCATTTCTTTCCCTGTAAACAACATACTTATAGACATAATTCCCTTCCCCAAGAGTATGAATCAGATCGTAGGAACTGGTCTAATTGTTCAACTAGGCTGTTGGGGTCCTCGAATAAAGACTTCCTCTCCTTCTGAAAAGTTCTAACCTCTCTGCTGGTAAGGAGGAGGGGGTAGTTCACCTAAGAGGATACACAGTTAGTGTTAGTACCGTTAGTATCAGGGAAGGCAAAATTCTCAGTATCTCTTCTACCTTGTTCTAATTCTTGCCAGAGCCTAGAGTACGATCCTTCTTTAGGGACAGTGTTAATTACAGTCCCTGTCTCCCTTCCTGGAGTGACTGCTGCAGCCACCAGTTCAATATTAAGATTATAGGGAGTATAACTTGGCTCCTTCTCTGAATCTTCTTGTTTACACATAAAACTCGCGGGGGGGGCAGATTTTGGGGGGGGACAGAAGGGGGGGATCCTAAATACGGGGGGGAACCCCAAAAGGCAGCTCAAAATAGGGGGATTATCTCAAAAGTGGGGGGGTACCCCAAAATGGGGAGGTGTCGCAAAAGGAGGGGTTCCTAAAAAAGGGGGGTCCTCCTAAAAAAGGGGGGGCACCCCAAATCCAATGGGCCCCAGCCTCTTGAAGCATGGGGACCCCAAAACAAGTGCGGGGGGGTCCCTAAAATTCCCGGGGAGAGGTCGGGGGCGCCCCCCCGAGTTGGTACTCCTTGACCTCCCCCCCCAGCGCTGCGGTTCCACGCGGCAGCCTCCGTCACCCTGTGCTTGGTCGTGATGGAGAGCTGGGCTGCGAGCAGTTTTTTGCGTAGGGGAAACAAGGTGGGGGGAGTCTAAGATTGGAGACCCCTCATCCAAAAGATTCCGCACCCCCCACAAAAATTAATCCATTTTCTCCCCTTTCTATCCAGTGTTCCCCCTCCTCTCACCCGCGCGGGGCCGCAGGGGGATGCTGTGAGCGGGGGGGCAAAAAATGTTGGGGGCAATGTTTTTTTGGGAGGGGGCCTGTTTTGCCCCCTCCCCCCCCCCCAATCCCATTTTAACCGTTTCGCGATCCTTTTTCCCCGTTTTTAGCCCGCCCACCGGTTGTGGGAGTTTGGTTTTGTCGGTACTGAGTTGGGGAAAAAAAAATAAAATAAAGTTCGGTTGTCGCTGTTTCTTGAATGAGAGTCGTGCAGCGACTGGTCCCCCACTCTCAAGCCCCTGGGTATCGCCAGTGCGGTACCTCTGCCCCCCAGCATTGCGGTTCCACGCGGCAGCCTCCGTCACCCTGTGCTTGGTCGTGATGGAGAGCTGGGCTGCGAGCAGTTTTTTGCGTAGGGGAAACAAGGTGCGGGGAGTCTAAGATTGGAGACCCCTCATCCAAAAGATTCCGCACCCCCCACAAAAATTAATCCATTTTCTCCCCTTTCTATCCAGTGTTCCCCCTCCTCTCACCCGCGCAGGGCCGCAGGGGGATGCTGTGAGCGGGGGGGCAAAAAATGTTGGGGGGCAATGTTTTTTTGGGAGGGGGCCTGTTTTGCCCCCTCCCCCCCCCCCAATCCCATTTTAACCGTTTCGCGATCCTTTTTCCCCGTTTTTAGCCCGCCCACCGGTTGTGGGAGTTTGGTTTTGTCGGTACTGAGTTGGGGAAAAAAAAATAAAATAAAGTTCGGTTGTCGCTGTTTCTTGAATGAGAGTCGTGCAGCGACTGGTCCCCCACTCTCCAGCCTCTGGGTATCGCCAGTGCGGTACCTCTGCCCCCCAGCATTGCGGTTCCACGCGGCAGCCTCCGTCACCCTGTGCTTGGTCGTGATGGAGAGCTGGGCTGCGAGCAGTTTTTTGCGTAGGGGAAACAAGGTGGGGGGAGTCTAAGATTGGAGACCCCTCATCCAAAAGATTCCGCACCCCCCACAAAAATTAATCCATTTTCTCCCCTTTCTATCCAGTGTTCCCCCTCCTCTCACCCGCGCAGGGCCGCAGGGGGATGCTGTGAGCTGGGGGGCAAAAAATGTTGGGGGGCAATGTTTTTTTGGGAGGGGGCCTGTTTTGCCCCCTCCCGCCCCCCCAATCCCATTT